TAAGTTCACCAGCACCAGTAGCCGATGGAAGATGACCACCAGGAAGGAAGATTTGTCTTTCTGGAGTCACTGATATCGCTTCGATTGTACCCTTGTCCCCAGCATCAAGGCCGGTGTCGGATGGAATACATGATGCGGCCGCAGCAGCTACTGCAAATTGCTGCATCATAAGGTTTAGTGGAGCGGCCTGTGGACCGGGATTTAGACTATTGGTGTTTCCGGAGACACAATTGACGCCTGCATAAAGACAGGAGGAAAGATGTGATAGCTACTAAATGGTGAGGGTATAAAATGAGCATAAATAATTTTTAGATAATAAAACATCGGTCTGTACAAAACAAGTCACCCGAAAAAATCAGCGTGTTGTAATGACTAAGCCCAACTTACTCATCACAGGGTCACACGGCTTAAGATTAGACCGAACGAATTAAGAGCAGCATCAAAAAGCAAACAAGAGTACTAACCCGTCGTTTGATTTGAGGTGCCAGCTATCTGCTGTGAGGCCATAAACATAGCCATCGCCATTGAAACAGGGCCGTTTATAGCAGCAGTCCTATTGTCGATCCCTGCAGAGTTACTGCTGTTTCCATTGAACGAAGCATTATCGATATTATTACCTACAACAGTAGTAGCAACGGGATGACTTGAAACAGCAACACTCGTATGATCTTCGTTTGCCAACCCATCGAACAAGAAGGTAACAGGCCCCTGAGTTTGCCCATCAGCTCCGAGACCCAAGAAAGCTGTTAGACCAACAGGCGATTGGGGTTGGGATTGCAGATGCCCTGGACTGGAACCAGAGCCTATAGCTTGATTCGGTGCAGAAGAGAAGTTGAAGACCTGATGTTGGTGCTGCTGGTGTTGAAGGAGCAAATGAGTAGGAAGCATGTTAGAAGTAGTCTGAAAAGGTGCGGTGAATTGGTGCTGATGAGCAAGAGGGCTAGAAAGTGCAGATGAAGTTGATTCATTGATCAGACGAAGTCCAGCGAAACTAGCAGATGGATCTGTACTCATACTGGTTGTGGCTGAAATTGAATTGGCTTTTCCGCCAGAAACGCTAGAGACCGTAGCGGTGCAGGGTATCAAGGAACGAGAGAATATAGAAGACGTGGGTGTACTGGAACAGGCTTCAAGAACCGAAGAATCCCGCGAAGAGTGAGTGGCCACAAAGGTATACTTTTCGTGATAGTCAGGTTGCTGTATAGTGGTGAAAGTGCGAAAATTCGAGGCTTAATGAAGACAATCAAAGCAAATCTGGGATTTTTAAAAACTCGTATAAAATGATCCTGTCGAGACATGAATATATAATATAGCTATACTTGTGAATACAAATAAAAAAGGTGAAGACTTGTAGCTCGTCATTATTCTGCCCAGAGCGTTTTAAATATACATATGGTCTCAGAGCGATGGTAAAACTTCGAATGTCTGGAAACTCTGGGAGCCTT